GAGATGGGGAGAGACGCATGGGGGCAGGTAGCAGGGGAAGTGAGGAAGGGGGGACAGACTGCAAAGGAGAGGTGGCAGAAGGGGCAAATACAGGCAGGAGGGAGGGGCAAGTGATACAGGGGAACAGGTGCCTGGAGGGATTCCAGCACCATGGGGGATGCAGGCATCATGGGGTGCAGGCAATGGGAAGAGCACGGAGGTGGGGGCAGAGGGGCTGAGTGGTGGGGGCAACAGTTGGCAAGGGGCAGAAGTCAGGCCACTTGACTCCCCTGTTGTATGCCCTCTCTGCTCTACCACAGCTTGCCCTGCTTTAGTTGTACAGTGGAAGAAGTTTAAAATGACCTCCAAAAATTAGATTATAGACATGGAAATTATAACAAAATTATGTTTCCCATGTCTAGAATCTAGTTATTGGGGGGTCATTTTAAATTCTGAGTCATCTTGGATTCAGGTAAATGTGATCATTTTCCATATACAAAATATAATTAGTGGAAGGTCATCTTACATTCATCTCCTCAGTGTTGTGGCAGGGAAAGCAGTGGCAGGGGGAAAAGGGGCCAAACTCCAGCTTTGCACCACTAGCTCTTTCCCTCCCTGCCTGCTCCTCCTGCCACTTGCCCCGCTCCAGTAACTGCCCCCCTGCCACTTTTCCCCTGCCTGCACCCTTCCCCCCACGCACCATGCCTCTTGCCCCACCTGCACCTGTACATGACTGCCACCTGCCCCCTCCCTGGTCTCTGCCCACCTCACCCTTTGCCCACCCTCTTGCCTGTGCCTGACCCCTGGCTCCTACTCCTGCCCCAGTGCCTGGCTCTCCCCTTCCTGCACCCTTCCCCACTCACATGTTGGTACTCTGTTCTCCTCTGCCTCCAGCTCTGGGTCCATCAATGACAATCTAATTAGATTAAAATGTAAGGGTGCTTGTCCACATAATCAGCGTTTACCACTAAAAATGCCCCTGGTTTAATTTTCTTTACTTAGTATATGACAACTAATTATGTAACATGGACATAATTTACCCCGCAACGGCTTACTATGCTATAACTAGTAAAATGTGCTAGGGGTACGTCAGAACAATTTTACTCTCCTGCCCTTTCAGTACTACTTTA